AAGGGCGGGAGCGGCCGCGAGGCGGGAGCGCTCCGTCTCCTTCCCTGCGCCTCGCGGTCTGCTCCGTCCCCCCGCCCTGCCCCCCCGGCAGCGCCTGCGGGGACCCGGCTGCTCCTAACGCTGTGTGCGACTTGCCCCAAACTCTATTGGGCCGTTCTGTAACTGTCCGAAGTCTACCGTTCCTGAAGCAATTTTTTTTTTTTTGGGGGGGGGGTTCTTCTTCTTCTTTTTTGTAAAGAATAAAAGAAACCATACGCGAACAGCAGAATGGGCGCGCAGGAACGACACTGGCTGCGCGCTCTGCGTTCACGGCCCCAGACCGGAGGAAAACCGCAAGCGGGCGGCACAGCAGGTAGCGCCTTTGCAGGGGGAGGGAGAGGAAATTTAAAGGCTCAGGCGGCAGCTCCTGCCGCCGCAGGGGGGGAGCGGGGGGGCTGGGGCGGTCGGCCCCCCCCCCGCCCGTCAGTAGTGATCCTGGGGCGGCGGATGAGCCGCTTTCCCACCCTGACCTCCGGCCTGGGCGGGCGGGCTGGCGTCCTTCTTCCTCCTCCTCCTCCTCCTCCTCCAGGCGCTGCTCTCTGGGGAGCGCAGGGGCGCGAATGTAGGTCATGCGAGACGCCGCCCAGACTTGACGAAGTGAGGTAAAAGGGGTGCAAGAGGAGGGAGGAAAACTCTCCCTCTTCCCTCAGATTAAAAGCCTTTAAAGGCAACGCTGGTCGCTTCGGGTTGGCGTCGGAGGCGACTCGGTTTACTGAAGGGCTTTGCGGCGTCCCCAGGGCTTGCCCCCATGGAGGTGTTTGGCGGGCCGCCCCCCCTCCCCCCCCGGACCGCCCGCTGGCTTGCAGGCGGTTCCTCTCAGCGACTCGGTGTCTCGGCCGCTCCTGTCAAAGCCCGCCGGGGCCCGACGCGGCCCCTTCGAGCCGCCGGAGGGCTGGTGTCACACCCGGGCGGCGGTCCCCCGCCCAAAACGCCCTCCCGGTCCCAGCGAAAGGGGTCCGGCGATGTTAAAAAACCGGCGCCCCTCAGCCGCCGCCGACTACCGACGTCCGCTGGCAGCGGGACGGTGTCCCGAAGCGGGGCTGTCTCCGTCCCGGGCGGGCGGGCGGGCGGAGGCGCGGCTTGCCCTCCCCGCCCCTCGGCCGGGCTCCCGCGCCGCGGGGTGGCCATTTCCAGCGGGCAGCTGTCGGGAAAGCGGCCGAGGTCCCCCTCCTCC